TAAATTATTAAACCTCTCTGTGCTTTAGTTTCACTAAGTTTTAAATGGGGATAATGATGGTAACTATCTTATAATGTTTTTATGAGGATAAAATAATTTAAACTTGTAAGAAAGATACTTGAAGAGTAATAAGCAAATAATAGGCCCAAAGTAAAGATTTATCACTTTCCTTATTTCTTACAGTATTCACATTTATAAATTTTAAAGTTTTTATTTGCTTTTAATAATAAAAATAATACTTTATCAAGAAATAAATACTAACATGTATTAACTAAACTTCAGATTTAGCTAAGATTTTGGATACATAGTCTTATAAATTAAATAAATAATGAATTGGATTATTCTGAAGGAAGTAATCAAATTATTTAATAATAGTGTACCTAATAGTTTTATTTATTCAACAGATATTTATTGAACTACTATTACATGCCAGGAACTGTAGTTGAATAGTGAACAAAGCAGATTAAAATCTTTGCTCTTGTGGAACTTACATTCCATTTGGGAAGAGGCAATGAAAAAAAAACAAAACAAATTAATGACATGAAACATATAATGGAGGAAAATAAAGGGAATAAGGAATGCAAAATAGAGTGCTTACAATTTCTAATAGCTTAGCCATAGAGACTGCTGATTGTATTAGTTTTCTACTGCTGCCAAAAAATTACCATAAACTTAGAGGCTTAAAATAACAGAAGTTTATTATTTTACTTTTAATGTGGTCAGGTCAAGAGTCCAGGCATAGGCTATTTGGGTCTTCTGTGAAATCTCACGAGGCTGAAATCAAGGTGTTGGCTGTGTTCTGGTTCTCATGGTTTTCATATAGAGCTTGGGGTCATCTTCCAAAGTCATTCAGGTTGTTTATTCAGTTCCTTGTGGTTGTAGGCCTGAGGTCCCTGTTTCTTGCGAGCTTTTGGCAGAGGTCAGTCTCAGCTACTACAGGTCACCTGCATTTCATTGGCATGTGACCCTCGTAGGCAATGCACAGCATGGTGGTTTGTGTTTTCTTTGAGGTAACCTAATGTGTTTCTCTAACAGTTTACCTCCTTTAAAAGGCTTCTCTGATTACATCAAATCCACCCATCATAATCTGAATAATCGCCCTTTTGATGAACTCACAGTCAACACTTAATAAGTTAAACACAAGTGATATTTCATTATATTCACAAGTCCACCCACACTCAAAGCAAGGGAGTTATATACAGTGTGTGTACACCAGGGGCCAGCAATCTCGGGTCCTTTTTTGAATCCTGACATAGCAAAGAAAGTAGTATTTGAACAGATATCAAATGATTGAGAGAGTGAGCCATGTAGGTATCTGGGGGAAGAGCTTTACAGCCAGAAGAAACAGGCCTTGAAAGGCCATGAAATTAAAGTATTTGACATGTTTAAATAACAGGAAGATAGAGAAGGGGGATTCTATAGCAGAACAGAAACACTGAGGGGATTAAAAAACAAAATTAGAGACATAAAGGAAGGCAAGGTGTTATGGAGGCTCTTGAAGGTCATTGTAAAGACTTTGACTTTAATATGAGTGAAATTCATACATGGATGAGGCCATTGTGGAAGATTTTTAGCAGATGAGTAATATAATCTAACACTTTAATTCCTCCTGCCATCCTCCTGAGAATAAACTATTGAGGGTCACAGGGGGAAGCTAGTAGACAAGTCAGAAGGCTATTGTAAAAGTTCAGCTGTGAGATAAAGGGGACCTTGGGTTAGGTCATTAGCAGTGGAGGTGATAAGAAAAGGTTGTATTTTTTAGGTATTTTGAAGGTCAAGCCTATAGGTTTGCCTGATAAGATAAACATGAGATGTAAAAGACAGGAGTCAACATTGATTAGAAAACTTTTGGCCTGAACAACAGGAAAACCAGAGTTTCAGTTTACTGAGAAGGGGGAGACTTTAGGTAGACCAGATCTGGACATGATATCAGAACAATGATTTGGCTGAGGTTAAGTTTAAGAGATCTAGTTGACATCCCAGTGGAAATGTCAAGTTTAAAGTTGGATATGCAAATCTAGAGTTCAGAAGATAAGTCTGGGCTAGAGTACAAATTTGTGCGTTATCAGCAGAAAGAGAAGGTATTTAAAGCTAGCAAGGCCAGATGAAATCACAGAATAGTATATGGGAAAGAAGACCAAGGACCGAGTTCAATGGATTCCAATGTTAAGAAGTTGAGAAGAGGAGGATAAACAGGGAAACTGAGAAGGAGCAGTGACTGAGATTAGAAGGAAACCAAGAGTGCATGGTGACTTGGAAGTCAAGGAAAAGAGTGTTGGTAATCACTTGCGTCAAATGCTGCTGATGGGCTAAGTAGGTTGAAAATAGGATATTGATTGTATTTTACAATATGGAGATCATTGGTAACCATGAGGAGAACAGTTTCATTTGAATAGTGGAGATGAAAGTCTCTTGGGTGATAATTAAAATGGATGGGAAGAAAAGAATTTGAGATAGAGAATATAGACAATTCATTGAATAGTTTTGCTAAAAAAGAAGTGATAAAAGAGGCATTAGTTAAAAGAAGGTGGACCCAGAGAGTGTTTTGGGAGAAAAAGTATGTTTAATTGCTGATAGAAGCGATCCAGCAGAGATGGAGAATTTGATGATATAGGAGAGAAAGCAAGGAATTGCTGAAGGCCAGTCCTTGAGTGGGGAGCTGAGATGGGATGGAGGTCATAAGATGGGAGGGGTTGGAATTAGGCGGAAATATCAGTAGCCATCTTTCATTACAGGAAGAGCAGCAAGCACATGGGTACAGAAAGATTTTTTTTTGAATTGCTTTAATTTTCTCAATGGACTAGGAAGCACGGTCAGTTAAGACAGGATGACAATGGAAGTGCTTGAAATGTGAGGAGGAAGAATAAGTTATAAAATATAAAATACTTGTCTGGGAGAGCTGGAGACAGGTAAACGCAACATGATTACCAAGCAGCATTAGGGACCTACCTAAGATTCACGTTCATGAATTTAAATGAGACTAGTTTGCATGCTGTATATTTTCTCCAGCCATGTAAGTTGCAGAGGTTCCAGAACTAGGAAGGCATCAAAGAACACATAACCAGTATTGTGATTCAGCCAAAATGAGTATGAAGTGAGAGAGGAAAAGGAATCGGGGATGTAAAAAAGTAGTGATTGTAATAATTGGTCATAGAATTTAAACTGGTAAGAAGGGAAATGAGTGCATCAGGGAGGAGAGAAAAGTGAAAAGTACATATTGAAGACCAGCATGTACTGTGGTAAATTTTTAGAATAAACTGATACAAGCCTTTCTTTAAAACTGCCATTTTGATGATCTCAAGGCTATGCAGTATTAAATGCTGTGAGAGGTCAAGTGATTCTAATCTCTAGCTCTTTGGGCAGAAGGAAACTCTCATACAATGTATTCTGATACACTGAAAGCACATTCATAGTTCTTATCCTCTGGTAAACCTATGAGGGAGAAAAGGGCGGTAGGTAGAGAAGGAGAGTCTGTGACAAAGTTGTAAAACAAAGTTGAAATTTATTGTTCCCTCCACTATTTCTTTGTGTGGCTTTTAGCTTCCTCAGTTCAGCTCAGCAGCCTTTGCTGCCTCATGGTTCTTCCATGTTCCGCACTGCAGATTCCTTCCCAAATTAACAGGCAGCACCACGTCCCATAACTTTCTCTTCTCTCAGTCCTCCTTCATTAAAACCTGAATGTAAGATGTTCACTCCTACAGAGTAACCCATTAACGACTTTGGTAACTAATTCCAATTTGGGTTAAGTTCTCAATGTTATTTATTATCACTTTTAGAGTGATGGTTTTCAGAATGCTTTTCCCTCAACCTATAGTAAGAAATATAATTTACATCATGAATCAGATCACGAATAGACATATGCAACTGAAATAAAAGATTTATGAAATTATAGCCTTATTACTTGTGATGCAGTCTGAAATTTTTTGTTCTATTGTAGTCTACTTAAAAACTTACAAGTTGGGACCCACTAAGTGATGTATCAACTACTAATGGGTTGATGGACTCCAGTTTGACAATAAGAGGGGCTTTTTATGCTTATAATGCAGGTAGGTTATGATAATGGAAGAGATTTAAGGGGTGTTCCAGCAGGGGACATTTTTGAAAAAAGGCCTATTGGTTTTTCTCAAATTATACCAAATTTATGGTAATGCAAAAAATGGTCTTAGGTAATATGTTAGTAAATAGTAAATATACTTAGGAGAAATAGATTGTGATCCTAGTTCCACCAAATCAATGGAAAAGATACCAAAGAATACATAAGTTGCACTGTATCTAATCTTTAAAAATAAATTTATGAAGTATGCTAAGAATAATAATTAAGAACATATTCACTAACTTTGATCACTAATTTCTCTTCTCTAAGACACTGATACTCTTACTTATTTGTTAATTTAAAAAAGTAAGTACTAATCACTGTTTGAAAAGTTTTAAGAGCAATTCACTCCTCAAAATAATTCCGTATTGTTGTTGCTTTATAGTTCTTATTCTACAGATTAGAAAACTGAGGTACAGAGATTAAGTAATTTGTCCTAGGTTCCTGGTAAGGAAAAGTATTAGGCAGTTTGGTTCCCAAGTCCATGCTCTTAACCACTATCATATGGCTACTACCGCTATTTAGCAGGAGCTAAGTCAGTGTTTTGTTCTTTTCCTGGATCTGTTGTGTCATATATCCTAGATTTCTTATTAAGCTACAAGGGACTTGATGATTTCCTGCTGTATTAATAGTGTTAATAGCTGCCTTTTATTGAGTACACTGTGCTAATCAACTATTTTATTATCTCTATTAAAACCTGTGGCACTCATAAAGTAAATGCTTTTATTATTTTTTCATTTTTTGTGCTAGACTACAGGTGAGAAAACTGAGACTGTGTACCCCTCAAATCTGAGATAGATCACAAAGCTCATAGATGAGGGAGCTAGGTGTCAAGCCCAGGTCTCTGTATTCTAGGACTGGGGTATTATTTGATTACTACCAAAGCTTGATGCTCACTTTATCTTACCTTGTCTCTGGGACACCGAATTTACAATGTAGTTTCTGGATTCTCTGTATGTTGAGAAACACTGGGCTGCCTTTCTATCTCCTTTGCTTTTCTCTTCTGCTTTCTGTTTTAAACCTTTAACCAGTTCACCCTGACTTTCCACTGCCGCTGTTATTCGACCATTAAACTCACAGCTCTGTGTGGCGAGTGTCTGTACTGAGGCCATCACGTTGCCTGCTTTAATGATTACATAGCTGGTTCTTTTAAAACTGTTTTTTGATATAATTGAAGGGGCTATTTATTTCCACTAGGAAACTTTCTTGTTATGGGTCGGAAGTCTTGGCTTTTTATCAAAGTGCTGCCAGCAAGATCTTTCCTTTACCCTGGAAAACGGGAACACACTTTTTCTGTGATGGTTCCTATTTTTCTATTATAAATCTTCCCCTAGAAGCAGAAGAACATCTGTTTTTACTGCTCGCCATGCATGGATTATGCATTTGTTTTTGGAATGCCTTGACGGATGTGAAGTATTAATATTAAGGCCCACAATGATGAAAAAACACAGTCCAAGTGCCTGCCTGCTTGGTGGCATGGGTTACATGGGTTTTAGCGTACCTGAACTTCTTGCATTAAAGATACTAGATAGCTTACAACTCAGTCAGAAATGCTGATTTTGTTTTGTTCTAATATTCCTAGAATGTAGTTAGAGAAAAATTGTTTTAGGGTAAAGTAAAATATATTCCTTTGATATAAGTCAAAAAATACAATCAATATATATATATGTGTGTGTGTGTGTGTGTGTGTGTGCGTGTATATATATATATATATATATATATATATACGTATGTATGTATGTGTGTCTATATAAAAGCTTGTTAAATGTAATACACAGAGTTACATTTGTGTTTTCTCAAATTGTTCAAAAAGATCATTTTAAACATAAGAATTTAGTACACAGTCTTCTAAATGTAGCTTATAAAAATACATGTTTGTTAAACTTCTTTTACAACCTATTAGAACTCACTGTCATTCCTAACTGCTTTATTGGACAAGCATAAATACTTCTGTAGGGTTCATATGAAGCTTCTATCATTTCTCCTATTTACTCTACCTATGGTGAATTGTTTCTTGGGATGGGGAAGAGGGGCAGTAGGAGAGGCTTTAAAAATTACTTAGTTTAGAAATGGTTCATTACAGGTTTCATTATTTTACAAAATAAGCAAGACCTGATAGGATATGTGTGTTTCAGTAGCTGAAACAGCCTGGAAACAAGCATTTAGTGGAAAGACCATTGAACATCAGAAGACTCAAATCCTAGACTCCATTCTATTAACAACTGTATGATGTTGAGCTTCTCAATCTAATCTCTCATGTTCTTTATATCAAAAATGGAATTCGATAGGTTTAATTTAAGAGCACGTGAGACATTAAGCGAGAGAAGTTTATAAATAGCAAATGTAATATTCTGATTTTATTTCTGGATTTAGTTTATGTTGAGACTCTGAAAGTCATACAAACCCTCCAAAACATAAGAATATTCATTGTCACAAACTACTACCTACTTAATTGATCTAAAGTCCTTATGTATTCTACAAATAGGTTGAATTGTCTGAATATTACACTGTTCCTTAAGTATTTAAAATAAATAGCACCAGAAAATATTTGCAACTTAAAAAATTTTATGTACTTGATATAGTACCCAAAACTTTTAGGCATTTTGATAAAAAATGAATCATACTTTTTTTTTATTTGAGGTTTCAAAATAAATCCACACATCAACTTGGAAGGCATAGTTTACTGCAGCTGCTGTACATTTTCTACACAGCTTATTTGTAATATCATTAGTCATTGTTAAGTCTATTAGTCAGAAATTCCATGTCTATAATGTAATTGTCATTTTTAGTAATTATTTTTTGAAATGCTGACATACAACTTAGCATGTTGAACTTTAGCTTTATTCACGGATTTCTCCTGTTCTTTTGCAAATCAATGTGAATAATCTCAAAATAACAGTTCCTCTCTACACTCTAAGCATTTTAGATCATATTAATGTTTTGCCCTTTATTATTTCCATCAATTAATTTTGCCCTTTAACTTTTGCTGATCAATGTGGACTAAATTGTAATTGCAACATTTCTATGAAATAATACCAAATTAAGGCTGATAGTGGCATGCTGTGAGTTGGTGTGGAATATTAACATTTGAACTTGGTAAGTTGATTTAAAACCAGATAGATTTTTGATTTATGTTTAAATTCTGGGTATGAAGAATTTTGAAGGTTATATTATAGTTAAAATTTCCTCGTAGTGTCTGCTAAATACTGGTGGTTTGGAAAACATGTAACTTTACATTATCTCTAGCTCTTCTACTGTCATTAGAAGGTTAAAATATCCAATGAGGTAAGAAAGGAATTAAATATCCCATGAACGTCTTTATTAATTCCCATAAATTAATTGAAATATTAATTTTAGGTTACCTAATATGGTTGATTGTTTATTCATTAAGTCAACATATAGTCATTACCTACTCTGTACCAGATAATGTACTAGGTGATGAGAATAGAGTGATGAATAAAATTTGGTTTCTACTCCAAAAGAACTCAGATTCCTGGGGAAGAGATGAACACATATTTGTATGTGTACAATAAAAATAGTGCCACATTGGAGGTGTGCATTGGGTGTCATGGAAGCACAGGGAAAAGCCACTTAGTTCTTGAGGTTTAGGAAAAGCTTTCTGGAATAGATGCCACCTAAGCTTTCTCTTCAAAACAATTTTTTTAAAATTATAAATGAAATAGATGAACATATGACAATAATAAAATAATTTAGAAAGATTTATGATCAAAGTAACAGAACCATTTCTATTCAACAGCAATTTGGCTTCCTAGAGGCAAGCTCTTTTAGATATTTTTGCTTGCATTTCTTCTGGTGGTTTCTCCATAATGCTAAATTATATCATTATACTTCTTATATGTATTTTAGAGTCATTTATCATTTTTTTTTTACTTCTACAGGTTACTATTGTGATAATAAATAATAACCCACTACATTATTAAGATATGATATTATCACCTCTCCTGTTTCCTCCATGTTTTTTACCTCTGCCACTCTCTACCATTCATCAGCTACTCCATTACTTTTATTTTGTTAAGATTGTTATCATTTGTAACTTGATATGAAACAGCAACCAGATGTTTCACCTTCTTCATAAATTGTCTCTGAAAGTTTATATTTTATGACTATGCTGGGTCAGGTACTGTGCTATGATAGAATTAATTCCCTTTTCTTAATGTCAATTGCTTAAAATTATGCCAAAGATTTATTTTCTCCACATTTGAATCATGACTTTTTAAACAACGTTGTCTCCTCCCCACTTTGGGTTAGTAATTGGTATTTCTCTCTTGTCTTAAAAAGATAATATGCATCTTTCATTTTCACATATTTTCCCCATATATTCTCATATTTTTGATACATATTTTTATTCTTCTTAAAGAAGTCCCTTCAGCATTTCCTGTAATACTGGCTTGGTGGTTATGAACTCCTTTAGCTTTTTCTTGTCTGGGAAGCTCTTTATCTGTCATTTGACTCTGAATGATATAGCTTTGCTGGATAAAGTAATCTTGGTTATAGATCCTGGGTTTTCATCACTTTGAATATTTTGTGCCAGGCCCTTCTGTCCTGCAAAGTTTCTTTTGAGAAACTAGCTGCCAGTCTAATGGGAGCTCCCTTGTAGATAACTAACTTTTCTCTTGCCGCTTTTGAAGTTCTCTCTTTGTATTTAACCTTTGGCATTTTAATGATTATATGTGTTGGTGTGGGCTTCTTTGGGTTCATCTTGTTTGGAACTCTCTGAGCTTCCTAGGGTTGTCTGTCTATTTCCTTTACCAGGTTCGGTAAATTTTCCAAAATTATTTCTTCAACTAGGTGTTTTCAACTTCTTGCTCTCTCTCTTCTTCTGGTACCCCTATGATGCGAATGTCATTATGCTTGATGTTGTCCCATAATCTCCTTAAATTATCTTCATTTTTTTGGATTTTGTTGTTGTTGCTGTTCTGATTGGGTGCCCTCTGCTACTACATCCTCTGTATTGGCGGTTCAATCCTTTTCCTCCACTCTGTTAAGTTCCTCTAATGTACTCTTCATCTCAGATATTGTATTCTTCATTTCTGACTAGTTCTCTATTATAATTTACATTTCCATTTTTATGGTTTTTTTTAATCTCTTTGTTAAATTCTCACTGAGTTCATCTACTCTTCCCCTAACTTCATTGAGTGTCCTTTATAATAAAACCAGTGTTCCGCATTCTGCATCTGTTACATTGCTTGATTCCACTTTGTTTAGATCTTTTTTTGGAGCTCTGTTCTGTTCTTTCGTGTGGGACATTCTTCTTTGTCTCCCCATTTTGGCTACCTTTCTGTGTCTGTTTCTAGGTACTGTTTCTAGCTCCTGAGTCTCCCAGTCCTAGTAGAGTGGTTTTGTGGGGCCCAGTGACACAATCCTGAGAGGGGTCTAGCTGCAGGCCAATTTAGCCCCAGCCAGTGCCCTTCTAGGGCCACTTGGTAGGAGTCAGCAAGCAATCCACAGATGGCTGCCACCCGTGCTGTGCTTATAGTTGCCTCAAGAGGCCACACCAGAAATTGAGGCCAGCTGCTGTCAGTGTGGGGCTTGGAGCTGCTCAGCAAGGGGCACAGGACACACGGAGGACAACACTGGATGTGGCTTGGGTGGGGCTGCAAGTTAGGAGAGGCAGAGTTCCAGGGAATCCTCTGGGGCAGAGCGACCTCTGATATCCAGTTCGATGATGTCTCAGCTATGGCAGTGTTGCATCTGTACATCGGGAGGGGAGAGAGCTCAACCAAGCATCTATGGATACCACCAGCTCTTCTGCTTAGGAGAAAGCCACCCCTCTGGCCCTCGCCCTAAAGCCCTACAACTCAGTGTCCCCCTGTATGTCCCTGGCACCCTGCTAGCAACCACCCCAATGCTGGAGCTCAGAGCAAGAGAGTTTGTCACTGCTTAAGTCCGGTCATGGTTGTGGCCCCTTTAAGAGGAGCATCTGCACCTGCCGCCTGGAGCTGACGTAGCCGCCTGCGTAGGACTGACCAGCCTCGTGTTTCCTCTTCCAATATTTCAAGGTGATTTCTTTTCTCTCCCTAGTTGTAGGGCTTCTGTTCATCCAGGCCCCTCAGACCCCCAGGTGACTCTACTTGCTCTTTTCTCCATGGTT